GGAATGAATACCCCAAGGGAGACAGAGTAAGAATATCTGAGGGTCCAAGGGTATACATAGTGACTATGACCTGAAGAGGATTGAATGAGACTGTATCCAGGAGGATGGGGTAAATATCCTAGGGAAGACAGGGCATAACTAGAGAGCATGGGGTAAGTATGTTCTGGGGAATTTGGGTGGAGCATCACTGGGAGCTTAGGATGAGCATGAGCCAGAGAAGATGAAGGGATCCTGGAGTTTTGCTAGGTCTCACCCCCAGAAGCATCATTTATCTCTGAGAATATGGGAGAAGAGGTTCATGCACTGTGTCTGGAATGGTTTAGGCATTGCCTTGTGGGAAGGCAGAGGATGATGGAAATGATGAGCCTGTCAACATATTCCTAGGCTTGGGAGTCTCATAGGATCATAGACCCAGAGCTAGAAGGGTCCTCAGAGGTCACCTAGCCAAGCACCTTCATTTTACAGATGGGGAAACTGAAGGACATGAAGTGACTTGCTGAAGGTCACAGGTAGTAGGCACCAGAATCAGGAGATGAATACAATTTCTCTTACTCTAATAACATTGTACCTTCTATCATACAACCTTGCTCTCTCACAAAGCCCCAGTCCCGCAAAGCCCAGAAACCCATGGTCACAGAAAAGAAATAGGTGAAGGTGGTTAAGAAGAGGGTAGAGTATTTTACTCATCCTGTGTGAGAATAATGAAATCTGGACAATTTATTGGTTCAGATTTGGCTTGGAGGCATCTAGTAGTTTGGGGGTTGGCTATGGGGAGAAGGGTCTTGGAAGGAAGAGTGCACAGAGTCCTTGGTTTGACCAATGGAAGAGATTCTACACATACACACACACACACACACACACACACACACACACACACACCCCTACTTTCCAAAGGGGAGAAGGCAAACCTCATTAAAGGTGGTCTCTATCCCCACCTGCAGCCCAAAGTCAGCAGTGCAGGCCCTGGTTCTACAAGGGGGCACAGTTCTCTGAATCAAGATCCCTCAGATAAAGGGTAAGAAAGGCAAAGAGCAGGATAAGGAGGGAAGCAGAGCAGAGATGACCAGCCTCAGATTTAGAATCCCAGAGTCTGAGAATGTCAAAGAGAGAGCAGCAGCTAATCCTGCCTGTTCATTATCTCATCTTTCAGAGCTGAAGTTGGGCATCCACAAGGCAGGCCAGTCAAATTCCTAGGATGCTAAGCCCCTAGACAATTTCCAGAAGTGAGATCCAGTGCTCTCTTACTCTTCAGATAAATTCAGAAGTATATATTTTCCCCTCAGCTCAAAAGATCCAAAGTTAAATATCATTTGAGGTCCTTCTGCCTACTTTACTATATAGTTTCCATCCTCTTTTTTTTTTTTTTGGTGAAGCAGTCGGGATTAAGTGACTTGCCCAGGATCACACAGTTAGTACATGTCAAGTGTTTGGTCTGAGGCCAGATTTGAACTCAGGTCCTCCTGATGTCAGGGCTGGTGCTCTATCGACGGTGCCTGCCACCTAACCGCCCTGATATATTTTCCATCCTCTGATGGTTCCCTGTTGCCTATAGGATCAAGTCCAAACTCCTTAGGTTGGCATTCAAAAGCAATCTTAGGCTGATCTCTCTTCCCTTTCCTCCCTCAACTGAACCCATCCTGACTTTCCAATTATTCTTTAATACAGTCAACTTTTTGTCTCATGACATCCCCTTTTGTGGGGGAGTCTTACCAGTATTTGCCACTTTAGAAAGTAAAGTCCATTAGCATTATTATGAAAATAGTTCTGACCTCACAGACTTCCTGAATGTCTCGGGGACTCTCAAGGGTTAATAGATCACACTTTGAGACCCACAGCTCTGATACAATTTCTCGGTTCTCATCAAGCTAGGCTCCTGACTGCTGCCTTTGTGGGCCATGCTCATCTTATCTTTTTGCTGATATCAAACCTTTAACCAAGAATTCTGGTTCATATGGAAAATGTAGTTAAGGTTGGTGTGGGTAGGGTTGAGTGGAAGGAAGAGTGTAGACATGATTACCCCTGTCCATAGTTGAAGGAGACTTCAAAGATCACAAGAATGAAGCAGTTTGAGGCAGCTGAAGGAGGCTGGGATTTGAGAGGGGCGGGGTGTGAGCTTAGTGCCAAACTATTTCATCTGGACTTGGGATTTCACCTTTGAACATTCATGGATCAGGAGTTCTTGGCCTGTTTTCTGTCATGGAACCCTCCAGTGACAGTCTACTGAAGCCTATGAAGCTTCAGAATCATGGTTTTAAATAAATAATGAAATACATAGGAGTACAAAGGAAACTAATACTGAAATAGTTATCTATCATCTCTTTCTCTGTCTATCTATCTATCTCTCTGCCTAACTGCCTGTCTCTCTATCTGCTTGTCTGTCTATCTGCCTGTCTGTCTGTCTATCTATCTATCTATCTGTCTGTCTGTCTGTCTCTCTCTGTTTGTCTGCCTGTCTGACATTAGCTAGGGTAAGGAACCCCTTCTATAGATGACAGCTGCAAAGATGTGAGCAAGCTGAAATAAGAGCAGACTTCAAAGGAGATGTTTTGGGGATGATGGTAGCAAAAGGATTATCTGAAAGTGGCAGTGGGAAGCAAGGAGGCTGATAACTCCTCCTGGCCTTATCTGGGTCAGGGTGTGTGTGAGAAAGAGTAGCCAACCTTGGAATGGGTACCAATGGCATGTTGAGGAGAAAACTGGACTTTGGTGAGCTCCAGAAATTGAAGGAAGAAGCAAATATGGGACCCTGGAGGTCATCTGGTCTAATCCTTGATAAATTGATTTCCCACAGTCCAATTGATGAGATTACAGGATGTAAGGGGTGGTAACAGAGATAATGAGGTATTCCAAACAAAGTGTAAGGGAGTGTTTTCTTTCTTATCTCTTTAATTCTAATCAAACTTGATGGAATTAGTGGGCAGCAAGACACTCTGTAGGGTAGCTAGGTGGCCCAGAGGATAGAGTACTGGGCCTGGTGTGAGGAAGATTCATCTTTCTGATGACTTAGCCTCTGTCACTAACTAGCTGTGTGACTTTGGCCATTCCAAATGTTCATAGTTGTGCCCAACCTGTGGTAGAGCCTTCTGAGCTCATACTGGTCTGATCAGCCACAGTTGGACATGCTTTACCTTGACCCCAACATAGTAATGTCATTTTTGGTCCTTGTCAACACCACCATCCCTCCCACATGATCTCTTCTCTCCTGTGGCACTACCATTACCCTGGTGCAGGTCTTCAGCATCTCCCATCTGGATTATTGCAATAGCCTGCTTGTTGGCCGTCTTTCTCATTCTCCACTCAGCTTTCTAATTGATCTTCCTTGAGCGCAGGTTTGACCATGTCACCCTTTTATTCAAGAAATCCCATTGACTTTCTATTTACCACCAGTACCAAATATAAAAGCCTCTATTTGGATTTTAAAGTCTTTCCTAATCCCTTCCTTCCCACCTTTCCTTACCCTTCTCCACATACTCTGTGATGCAGTGACACTGACCTCCTGGGTGTTCCTCCCACAAGAAATCCCATCTCCTGACTCTGGGCATTTTCTCTGGCTGTCTCCCATGCTTGAACCTCCTCTCCTTCCTCATCTCTGCTTCCTTACTTCCCCAGCTTCCTTCAAATTCCAAGTAAAATTTCCCCTTCTGCAGGAAGCCTTTCCCAATCCCTCTGAATTCATTTGCCTTTCTCCTGCTGATATAGGTGTTTGCATTGCCTTCCCCATTAGACTATGAGCTCCTTGGAGGCATGGAGTGGATTTGACCTTTCTTGGTATTCCCTCCTGCTTAGCCCAGAGCCTGGCACATCTTGTGTCCTTAGTAAATGCTTGCAGACTGACTCATCCAGATGCCAGTGTGCTTCTTCCTCCATCATGGAGCCTTCCTACCCTCATCCTAGTGACTGTTTAAATTCTTAGAGAATTAATCATCCTCCTTCACAATCACTTAAATGTGACTCTCAAATTCTTTGCTCGCTGGGCCTGACGTGTCCATCTGTTCTCCTCAATAAGATCAGAAGCTTCAAGCAAGCAGGGATTATCTTCCCAATTCTTTTGTGCCCCAAGTATTGTCTACCACAGAGTAGTATGGGTATGCAGTCGGTGCTCAGTACAAACTGATTGTGCGGGACACAAGAAGGGAAATGCTGATTTTCCACTGGATCCTCCTATCAATGTCCGTAATTAAAAGATTTAGATCTTAAAGGAAGAGTTCATTCCTTCATAGGTCCTGAAGGCTTAACTACTCATTTTCCACATGAGGCCCAAGTTCATGGATGAAGTAAGTCAGAGTAAGGATTTGCTCCTAGGACCTTTGGCTTGTGTTTTTTCATTATGTTAATTCTTGATCTGGAGAGGTAGTGTGGTATGGCAGACAATCAGAAGAACTGGGTTTGAAGGCTGCCTCTGATCAATCAAACTAGAAGCATTTATGAAGTGCCTACTCTGTATATTGTGCTAGGTGCTGGGGATGCCAAAATAAAACAATATTTACCCTCAGGAAATTTACATCCTATTGGTTGAGATGTACTTGCTGGATGACCATGAAAAGATTTTCTTTCCACTGAGCTGCGCATCAGCATCAGTGAAGGAAGATTGCATGTCCTGAGTTGCCTACACTTATGAAGTCACAGGCATAGACCCAAAACAACAATGATGAAAACGAACATCCTGATCCTTCACCAAGCTCTATAACTGATTGGCTTCATGACCTGAGCTGAGCCCCTTTTCCTTCACCTGTCCCATCTTCTTCTTAACAAATATTGGAGGAGTAGGATACTATTTGGTCTTAGGAAAGATGGACAAGCTAATTTGGGCTTATTGGCTGGTTCTCCTCCCTCCTCAAAGGCTCCTCCTATCTTTGGCTCTCTGCTTCTCTAGGTTCAACTATCATCTCTGGGCTGGTGACCCTTGAATCTTTTTCTGTGACCCTGCCCTCTCTCCTGAGTTATATTTCTCTACCTCCACTTTCTCCTAGCAGATTCCTTCTTGAGTCTGGTGAGAACGTGAACCCAATTAGAGCTTTTACCAGCACCATAAATCCAATCTGTCCATAGCAGAGATCCTCCTCCCCTACAAACCAACAGGCACTCCAAAAGTACTTGGTCCTTAGTACATTGATTGATTGGCACAAGGGTTTTAAATGGACAGAACATGAGACTCTGAGTGGTATTGGGTGAACTCTAGGGTCTAAGGCTGCTCCTCCTGAACTAGAAGGGCTTGGACTGTCTGGAAAACTCTGAATCTCAGTGGACACTTATGCCGACAAAAATGGGACCAAATGGGTGGGAGGAGATGCTGGGTTTATCTGTCCAAGGTCTTCTTGTTTGATATAAGCAACCCTGCCCCCACCACCCCTCATAACCCCCAAAGAAGACTGATTCATTCCCATTATACAAAGGGACACACAATAAGGGCCAGAGAGGAACTTTGCCTGGAGACGGAGCAGGGTCTAGAAGGCAGACATGGGGCTGGGGCTTTCAAGCCGTTGGCCTTTACCGACTCTGTTCAAAAAAGAACTCCGTTTGAGGGGAGGGATCACTCTCCTTGATGAGTCTGACTGGTTCTTGGGGCTCTGTTGGAGCCCCAAGGAACCAGCCTGGCCAGGCAGCTGCCTCTAGCCGGAAAGTAGGGCCTGAGCAGCTTCTGAAGAAGGTGAAGCGGGTGGCCTCCTCTCCACCCTTATACAGGTCCTCGATGTTCACATCCTATAGGGAAGAAGGGACACTTGATCACAAGGAGGTTATTGAGGTACAGTGAGGAGTATTAGCCCCTGAGGCCTCTTTGGACTGGGGATCAGAAGAGTTGGAGGTCAGAGAAGGAAATAAAGAAGCAGTTCTTTAGGAAAGGGGAGAGGGCTATCTTTTAAAGAAGGAAGGTATTGCCATTATGTGGATGTTGAGAGAAAGGCAAGAGAGAATGAGGACAACAGCATTCCTCTCCCTACTGGAGCACAAGAGATGGGAAAAATAGGAATAGGGCTACTGACCTTCTACCTCAAACTTGTCATCCTCTCCTTTTTTCCATATTCCAGAGGAGGCATCAAAACATCAAAAGAAGAACATGGAACTGGGAGTCAGGAATTTCATATCAATGCTAGAAGACTCATGGTAGGGCACCTAGAGCATTCTCACCTCCAGTTGTAGGAAAGGCTCTTCTCCTGATTCTGCACATGCTAAGCATCGAGTTCCATCCTGGATTCCCATAATGATGGGGAACTTGGTTCGATCAAGGGATCTATTAGGAAGCACACAGATCCTCTCTGGGAGAGAAGAAAAAATAAACTTGGAGATTGAGGGAACTGTAAAATGATCACCAAGAAAAAGGCAAGAATCTAGACAGAAGTGGCCCTTCCCTCAGACACAGGGATATTTCTGTCTCATAAGTCTGGGTGGGGAGCCTGAGCCTTAGAGTTAACCCTTTGCTTTCCTGGGCCACCAAACATAGAAAGGTTGAAGGGATGTTTGCCAGGCATTGTGTTGTGGTAGATGTCCTTGTTCAGTCCAACCTGATGGGTCAGGTGGGCCCTGCTGGTGTCCTGCAAAACGAGTTATAGGAGTATTCTGAGCTCCTCACACACCATTCTCTCTTTGGGATATATCTTAGGAAAGAGTATTAGGAACATACTTTAGTCTGAAATGCTTTTTTGTAACTGGAATGAGAAATCTTTATCAGTCTGTCTTTAGCTCTCAATTCCAAAACAATGTTCTTCTTGAAAACATTTTTACTTCATTCTTATCAAAGATGTAAACGATTTCTTTTCTTTTTTTTTTTTGTGAGGGCAGTTGGAGTTAAATGACTTGCCCAGAGCCACACAGCTAGTAAGTATTACATGTCTGAGGCCAGATTTGAACTCAGGTCCTCCTGACTCCAGGGCCAGTGCTCTATCCACTGCACTACCTAGCTGCCCCTTAACCAGCTTCTAAAAGAAAAACTAGGTCAAAGTTCAGGAAGAAACTCTAAGCTTGGGAAAGAAGATAGATTAGGGGAGTGGTATTAATTCCATTTGGGGTTTTCTTGGCCAAGATATTAGAGCAGTTTGCCGTTTCCTTCTCCAGCTCATTTCACAGATGAGGAAACTGAGGCAAACAGGGTTAAGTGATTTGCCTACAGCCGGTAAATGTCTGAGGCTAGATTTAAACTCAGGAAGGTGAGTCTTCTTGACCATGCACTGCACCACCCAGCTGCCCCAGATTAGAAGGGCAATCAAATTTAAAACTAGTACACTATAATCTAATTAAGGGCATTCTCTATCTCCATACTTGATTGGACTGAATGTTTTGAGAAAATGATTCCCCAGGATTCTCTGGCATTTTAAGTGAATATTCTATTGGAAGAATCAAAAACAGTTACTTAAATTTTCACCTGAGCTCTGTAATTGTTTTATTTATCATGAGGTCATGTCATTGTTTGGGGATATTTTCAATGTAATCCAAAACTGCTTGTGGCAGAGAAAATTCCAAAGGCTTGGGGAAATTCTGCTCTTTTGCATCTATCTTTCTCTCTCTCCCTCCCTCCTTTCTCTCTCTGTCTTTCTCCCTCTGTCCCTCTCACTCCTTTTCTTTCCTTCCTTTTGTCTCTGTTGATATCTGTCTTTGTGTGTGTGTCTGTGTTGGTATTTCTCTGTCTCTGTCTGTCTGTCTGTCTCTGTCTCTGTCTGCCAACAACTGTCTCTGTGTCAGTGTTACTCTGTCCCTCTGGAGTTAGAATAATTTGATTATTAAATAATTAATATTTAATTAACAAAATTATCTCTAGTAGATTTGTGCCCCAAACAAAGAATATGGTATTTTTCACCCACATCCTTATGACCCCTTGCAGCTGCTCTTGTACCTGTAAAGAAACATAGCCAATGGGGCCCAACTCTGGCACCAGATGGGTGGGGAGAGGGAGATGGGAATTCCAGGTGGGTGACCTAGAATGCTTAGGAGCTGCTCACCTGCACGACAGAGTTCTGAGTTGGGTTCTCCCACTAGAAGTTGGTCATTCTTCAAGTATAAAGGCTTCTGTTCAGCATCCTTGATTCTGAAAAACCTTCAGGTTAGTGTGAGGCCCCAAATCTCACCCTCCTACACACACACACACAACTATACAGTACTCCACCCCACAGCCTGTCAGTCTCTCTTTCCCCCCCCATGCACTAAAGGAAACAGCACAATGAATTAGGAAGAACATGGGACTGAGAAACAGGATTCATGTCCTGACTCAACATGTGACTGATGGCAAACTGCTTGACTTTTCCAGTGCCTCAGCTTTTTCATCTGTACAATGGGGGGTTGAGGTCAGCAACTATACCATCCAACCCATTCATTCTGCAGATGAAGGAAGTCATCTAATTCAACCCACACTAGAAAAGGAATTCTCCTCATAATAAACTAACAATTGGTCCTCCAGTCTTTGCTCCAGTACCCCCAATGAGGGGGAACCCATTATCCTGAAAGGCGGCACACTCTACTTTTGAATATCTCTGATTGTTGGGAGGAAAATAGGTGGTGCAGTGGATAGAGTGCTGGCCTTGGAGTCCCGGAAGACCTGAGTTGAAATCTTTCCTCAGACACTTACTAGCTGTGTGACCCTGGGTAAGTCATTTACCTCTGCTTGCCTCAGTTTCCTCATGTGTAAAATAAGCTTGAGAAGGAAATGGCCAACCACTCTATTATCTCTGCCAAGAAGAGCTGGACACAATTAATTGACTAAACAATAGTCAGGAAGCTTTTGCCAACATCAGGACCAAATTGGCTTCACTTCCCCAGGTTAAATATTCCCAGTTCCTTCAACTGTTCCTCCCAGTCAAGACTCAAAGCCCTTTAATAACGATTCTAGCTAAAATTTATACAGAGCTTCAAGCATTGCAAAGCACTTCACAAATAATAGTCCTCAAAGCAACCCTGGAAGTTAGTTGCTATTTTTTTAAATTTTTTTTTTAGACAATTGGGGTTAAATGACTTGCCCAGAGTCACACAGCTACTAAGTGTTATGTGTCTGAGGTCAGATTTGAACTCAGGTCCTCCTGACTCCAGGGCCACTCTATCCACTGTGCTACCTAGCTGCCCCCAGTAGTTGCTATTATTATCATCTTTATTTTACACATCAATAAACTAAGGCAAACCGGTTAAGTGACTTTCCTGTGGCTATATAGTTATTAAATGTCTGAGGCTGTATTTGAACTCAGGTCTTCCTGAATCCAGTTCCAACCTTCTATGCACTGTACCACCTAGCTTCCGCCAGGGAGGTCTTCACCCATTCCATGCTCATTCTAAAACACAGTACCCAGAACCAAACACAATGATCGGTTATCAAGCTATAGAATGATACAGGATTATCGCCTCCCTATTCCCCCAAGCCTGCTTCTGGTAATGTAGACATTTTTGTGACATAATTACAGGAATAATTTTTCTGCCATATTCTTCCCCTCCTCAACAATCTATGAAAACATCTGGAACCACCCCAGGATAGAAATTCACTCTCACTGCAGAGGTGCTGAGATTTTGGACTGGTTTGACTGTCCCCAGATCTGTCTATCTCAGTTTTTTTCCTAGCCTGTTCCTGAGTTCTCTCCTAATGGGGATGAAGTGTTTTCACATGGGACAAGACTGTCACAGCTTTGCTTGGCCAATTGTTTTCCTATGGCTAAAAAGAGATCATTGGAGTTGGCCAAGGCTCCTTCATCATCATTCATGGCCAGCATTGTGTTATAATAATAGGTTTAGAAGCTGAATATGGGGCTTTGGAGGAGAGGAGGAAAGGAAATAGGGGTGTGAGGGACATCAAAGTAATGCATGATTACCTCAGGCCACTGGGCTGGTTTCACTTTGCATGAGTCATACCTCTTAAGGACCTGGGAGCTCCTAATTCATTCTGACCGGGCTAAAGCTAGATTCTCATCTCCCCATGAGGTTCCTCTAACTAGGTATCAGCCCTGGCTAACACCTACATGTGTTAAAGTCAGTTTCAGTTTGGGTCAGAGTCCTACACTAGGACCTGGAACCTCTTCCTTTAGAATTTTCCACCTTGGGTAAAGGTCTTATTGTGTGACATTCATAGACTCAGCTGATTTGTGTATGTGTGTCTTTTGTTCCCCTGTAAACCAGCACTGAGCTCTGCCTTCTGTTTCTTTTATTCCCAAATCAACAGAATCTGAGAGTTCAATGGTCATCTAATCCAATGCAGACACAAAAGGAAACTCCCCTGTGAGATAGGGGACCAGTGGTCATCTGGTCCATGCCTGAAGCTCTCCAGCTAGGGGAAACCACTGTTCCTGGAAGTAGCCCATTTCACTTGGGGCAGCTCTCATTAGGAAGCTTTTTTCCTGACACTGAAGCTTGAATTTTCCTCTTTGAAGCTTTTATCCTTTTGTACCAGATGAAATGAGTCTAAACCCTATCATATATGACAGCCTTCAAATATATAAAGACAGCTTTCTTGTCCCCCCATATCTCCTCTTCAGCAGGTTAAGGAAGGCTGAAGGATCTTCAGGAGGGTCCCTGCCAGGAAACTGGCAAAACTTACACAAAGTACCGGGCTATGGGGAGGGAACACATCTCTTCGGTCTAAGGCGGAGTGCACCTGAGCCCTGCTGAGAAAGGAAAGGGAGAGAAAGCTCTGTTTAGGAAAGGAAGGCATTGGGAAGCCTGTGGACCTGACAATCTCCATATTCTGATTTTTAGGTCTCCTTTACCAGGAAGGGATCAGCTGGCAGTAATGAAGAATGAATGAACGCGTAATCTGTCAACCATTCCTGGAATTGGAGAATGGACTGACTTTAAGGGGAAAAAAATGCAAACTCTAACACATAAGCCCTTCACAATCTGAATTTGACTGACCTCCCCAAGCTCAATACCCATTACTTCTCAGTCACAAAATCACTAGAATAGACACAGTGCAGTTTAGTGGAATGTGCTCTGGGCTCCAGGGCCAAAAATCTTGTTTTGAAGACCAGCTGAAACAGGAATCTACTACTTGACCACAGGCAGGGCTGGAAACCTCTCTGAGCTGCAATTTCCTTGTCTGTAAAATGGGAATGTAATACCTGAGGTCCTACCCCACAGAATCAGGAAGAAAGCCCTTTGTAAGCCATAAGGCACTATTAGAAAAATGTGAGGTCTTACTATGAAACCCTGCTCTGTCACATACCAGCTTTGTGAACTTGGACAAAGCCTCTTTACTTCTCTCAAGTCTCAGTTTCTTCACCTGTAATGTAAGGGAGTTGGACACGATGCTCTCTCTCCCACAGCCCTGGGTAGCTCTAAAATTCCAAATTCCTGGAGAATATAGCTCAGCAATGGAGTTGGAGGGGGGTGGGGGCAGTGATAGGCACAGCTGGGAATCTTGTCCTCCCCCTCCCTGTCTGGAGACTTTCCCCTAGGATCAGGTCCTGCCTGTATGTATCATCGGGAAGAATATGGCCTAGCCCTTAGTCCTTGGTGGTGGGGAGGGAGAAAAGTGCAGGAGTGGAGTGACAAGAGGCCTGCTCTTTATGGACTGAAATACCAGGATTTGGCTGGAATTGGTAAATTACAAGAGATGAGCTTGGAATATCATGACTGGGGTTGGCTATTCATTCTCCCAAGGTTTTTAAAGAAGAGAAATCCACATGCTTTCCAACTGGCCTCAGAAAGAAGAACATAGAGCTATGAGAGGGTTTGAGATGCAAGAATCTAGGGTTGTGATTTGCCCTTATTGGTATGAATTTGAAATTTGGAGGAGTCAGAAGGACTGAGTTCTAGTCCTGCTGCCTGCTCTAAGTAAACTTGGATCAGTAACATCACCTCCCCACGCCTCAATTTCCTCCTTTTTAAAAGAAATCGAGGTGGCCGTCCAGCTCCCTTTCAGCTCTAAATCTGAGGGATTCAAAGAGGACAAGATGCTCTGGCTAAAGGACTGTCTTTAGAGTCAGAGTTCCTAGGCTTAAATCCTGTCTTTGATATTTTCTGATGTTGTTGTTCATCTTTCATTCTCAAAGAGGACCAGTGATATCGTGAGAACGAAGTCTTGACTTGCACGAGAATTGAATTTAAATTAGACAGAACTGCTTAAAATCATCAGCCTCGCTCTCTCCTCCAGAGTCGTCAAAGTCCCGTGGCAAGACTTTTACTAGCTGTATGATCTTGGGCAAGTCATTTTAAATCTCTGGGCCTCAATTTCCTCATCTGTAATATGAGGGGGTTGGCTAGATGACCTCTGAGATCCCTTCCCGGCCTTAGAGGTATCATGCTAAGTTATAAAGTTGGCCAACCCTCCCCCATCAGTCTCCAGCTTTGTTTGCTGCAAAAAGCATCCTGTTATTGACCCCTAAACACATTATTCTCTTTCTGTTGTGCTTTTTCCAGTCCATAAAATTTAAAACTCTGTCCCACCCTTAGAATTTTCTCTGAAGTGATGGACCTATGCAGGACAAAGGAGAGAGGGAATTTAGGTGAATCCTTTGGGTGTTCACAAAAACTGTTAAATCATTGTAGGTGTTGGGGGTCAGGGACCCAGCTAATAATACTGGCTGTGGCCTGAAAGAGGAGTGTCAATCAGGCAGAAGAGGAAGATGGTCCCAACCTGCAAAATTGCCCTTCAAAGCAGAAGTATGAGAAAAGAAGCCTGGTTTAGAAAGTCTATCTGATTCCCCATGAGCAAGGAGAGAAAGAAAGCGAAAAGAAGGAAAGATTCACTCTGTGTGTGCGTGTGTGTGTGTGTGTGTGTGTGTGTAACATGTCACTGAGGGATGTTTCAGGAGGTACAGGAAGGCACATCTCAGGACTGACTTTCCTATAGGAGGACATCTGATCATCTGAGCCAGATTAGACAGATTTCTCTAGAACCAAAGCAAGGTTTCAGCCTAAGTCCATTCTTATTAGCTGTGTGACTTTGGGCAGATCACTGAGCACCAATTTCCTTGTCTTCATTATATAATGGGCATAATCATAGCTTCCTGGCTACTGTCTCTTTACCACACAGAGCTGTTGTTAGCATCAAATGAGATAATGTCTATGAAAGTGCTTTGTGATCTGTAAAAATGCATTATAAATATGTGGTTAATATTTTAATCACTAATACTTTGATCCCATCTTCCACTTCTCATTGTGTATTGTTTCCACTGAAACTTCTTCACTAATGACTCATCTACCTACCAGAAGTCTCCATTTGGGTCTCCTAGCAACAGCTACAACTCAACATGTCCAGAAATCAAGCCCATTATTTTCCCCTTAAAACTAACTCTTTGTCCCAATTTCCCCATTTTTTTAGGGAGAAGGGAACAAGCATTTATTAATCACTTACTATGTACCAATCACTTTGATAAACAGCTTAAAAGTATTATCTCATTTGATCCTTACAATAATCTTGGGAGGTAGGTGCTGTTGTGATTCTATTTTACCACTGAGGAAGTTGAGGCAGACAGGTTGAGTGACTTACCTAGGGTCACATAGCTAACAAATTTCTGAAGCTGGATTTGAACTCAAGTCTTTTTGATTCCAGGCCCAGCATTCTTTCCACTGAAGCACCTAACTCCCAAGAGCATGAATCAAAAACTGGAAGGGATCTGAATCCAGCCTCTCTCATTTTATGGATGAGGAAACCAAATCCCACGGAAATTGAGTGAATTGTCCCAAGTCTCACTGGTTGTAATTGTCAGAAGCAGCATTTGAACCCAGGTTCTTCAACCCCAGAAGGAGTGCTTATTCCACTGAACCATGGAGCTGATTTAATGGTCATCCTCTTCTCCCCCAGTCAACGGGGATTCCCTAGGCATCAGTTTTGACTCTTTCTTTGTCTTTGTATCTGCTATTTAAACTTTCATCCAATTTAAACTTTCATTAATTCTTCCTTCAAAGCATCTCTCAGAGACATCCTTCCCCCTGTATTTACATGGAAGCCATAGAACCCTAAACAATATCCTTTACTATCAGTGGCATTTATTTTCCAATGTCTCATAGATCCATAATTTTGTCATTGTGGGTACTCAGTGACCCCTGTTCAGTTAAGTAGAAGATCTTTGAGACCTTATGAATTTTGGTCAAAAAATGCCTCACCCTGTGGCCACTCTGGAGATGAGCCACCTCTCACTTTGCTAGGATCACTCTTAGACAAAAGATATACAACCCGTACCCTGCCCATTACTCAAAACCTTTCTACCTTGGTTGGACCTGCCACAGGTTGTATTCTGCTGACAACCTACAAGAAGGGCTTCATAAATATTGACCATGACTGACTCATTTCTGACCAGTCCTTACTGTCTCCTAGAGCTCCTAAACCTTTTCCTAACTCAATCATGTCTTTAGCAGGAATCTATAGAGAGCTCAAAAATTTACCTGGAGAGAATGAAGTGGAGAGGAGAATGGGCATGGGTATTAAGGAATGGGGTAGATAGAAAAAGAGAGAGACAGACAGACAGAGATACACAGAGAGAGAGAAAGACAGAGGAGGGAGAGATGGAGGGAAGGAAGGAGAGAGGGAGGGAGAGAGGAATAGAAGGGAGAAGAAGACAAACAGAAATAGAAGAGAGAGGAAAGCAAAGGGAGGAGAGAGGGACAGGGAGGAAAACATAGAGACAATGATAGAGTAGGAGAGTAGGAAATATAAAGGAAGGGAAAGAAGGTAGGAAAGAGAAAGAGTGAGTAAAAGGGAGAGGGAGAGATAGAGGAGAGAGTAAACAGGGTTAGAGAAGAGAAATAGGAAGAGATAGAAATGAAAGAAGAGAGAAATGATAGAAAAATAGAGAAAGGAGAGGAAAGGAAGAGAAAATAAGAGAGAGCAAAGAAAAATAAGAGGAAAGAGACAGAGAAATAGAAACAGACAGAAAGAAGTGAACTGAGAGGTTATCATCACCCCCTTACACACACACACACACACACCCCTTCTTAACCATCACTGACCTGTAGGTCCTTGTAGGTCCTCTTAAATCCTGGGTCTTGGAAACTCAGTCTGTCTGTCTCAGTGTCTGCCTGTGTTTATAGGTCCTGGTCAATGTGGGTCAAACCAATTGTTCCCCCCATAATTGGTTTAGGAAGGATAACAAAAAGAAGAGGCACAAGGGTTTCCCAACTCTTTTGGGTCACTGAGGATAATAAGCGGGATGGGGGAATTAATGAATGTTTGCCGTGAGGGTTGAGATCCCAAGCATTTAGGTCCTTGCTGCTGCCACTGCCATCATGATTGTTGTCATTTGTGGCTTCAGTAGCCAAATAAATGAATATGAGCTGGTGCACGGCCAAGCCAGTTTCACTCCTGTGCCCTCTCCTGCCCTGTCTTGGGCTTGGGTATCTCTAAGTCTGTCTCTATCCCCAGTCCTCTCCCCCACTCCTAGCAGCTGCACAGACTAGGACAGAGTAGGTCGAGGAGTACCTGGGAGCATTTGTGAGTGGGGCAGAGAGGAGAGCAATCTCTGAATACTTAAAGCTCAGGCTGATGCCAGAGCACAAGCTTTGTCTTGTTCCAGCAGGCAGACGTAGAGGGCAATTTGTACATTTTCCACAAGCTCCAAAAAGTGCTGCATGGTCTCAGTGACAGGACAGCAAATGAACGGATGGATGAAAACCCATTGATTAAGTGCCTCCTATATGTCAAGTACTGTGTTGAGTACTGGGATAT